ATTTCCCAGTTGCTTCTGTAGTCCACAAGATGGGGCTAGGCATAAAAAATAATTAATACATTGCAGGAAAAATTAGCTATTTGCTGATAAAATCAATATGGTTGGGCAGTAAAGTACTCCTACCTGAAAAAAAAGAGGGATAAACATACTCAGAAAGGAAGGAAAAGTTTACACAGATATTAGATAGATTAAGTGCGGTGGAAGATCGTTAGACCAAGATTTAAAGGCTACATATCTCACAAAGATGGCTAACCAGGTTCCCCAAATATAGCAAGGCCCTCCAGATGCGTGGCTGAGAATTTGTGGGTGGGATTGTAGTCCTCAACTTACAGCAGTTCAAAGCTACAATGGATTGCCTTCCGATTCCATTGGGACTCCAGCTCCCATCCTGCTGGTCTTGTTGAAGATTGCCAAAGCTGAAGTCCAACACAATCTGGAAGGGCAATCAAACTTGGAGAATCATTGACAGACCGTAAAAAGCTAACTAAAAAAAAAAAAAAACCAACCCAGGAAGGAAACGTCTCTGCTTGCTTTTGCCAGCAACCCGTTGCACACAAATATTTTGGCACGGCCAGGAGGTGCATTCTTGCCACAGCTTAAATCAAGAGCCTTGGAATGAATGCATCCTGGCACAGGCAGGCACTTCTTTCGTGGCAGAAGCCAACTTCCATCGAAGACAAAAAAAAAAAAAAGGAAAGAAATCTGGGCAAAGATACACAGGTGGCGAGGAAAGAGGAAAGATAAGGAAAGTGTAGGTTTTAAACCTGAACTGTTTTTATTGGGTATAACGTCAGGAAAAACTAGATAAGAAAAGTATGTATTTAACATTACATGTTGTCACCAACAAGGGAGAAAGTGGGGGAGGAAGATAAAGAAAATTAAGAAAAAAAGACAGACAGACAGACAGAAAGGAGGGAGGGAAGCAGGAGATAAGAAGGAAGAAAAAGAAAGAAAGAGGAGGGAGGGAGGGAGGGAGGAAAAGAAAGGAAGGAAGGAAGGAAGCAGGGAGGAAGGAAGAAAAAGAAAGAATGAAAGAGGAGGAAGGGAAGAAAAGAAAGTAAAGAAGGAAGGAATGGGGAAAGGAAGGAAGGAAGGAAGGAAGGAAGGAAGGAAGGAAGGAAGGAAG